GCTCTGTTTAACCGGCCCTCTCTTGATTGAAATATAGTTGGTTTCCAGTCTTTTGCTGCTACACACAGTGCTACAGTGAACATTCTTGCACATCTTTACACACATATACAAGTATATCTACAGTATTTTAAAAACAAACCAAAACTTTTGCCATTGAGTCACTGCCGACTCTTGGTGACCCTGTGTGTTACAGAGTAGAACTGCATCATAGGGTTTTCGTGGCTATAATCTTTATGTAAGCAGGTGGCCAGGCCTTTCTTCTGTGGCACCATGGGGATGCATTCAAACTGCCAACCTTTAGATTAATAATTGAGTACAAACTATTTATGCTACCCAGGACCTTAGCTGTAATATAAAATCCCCAAAAGTAGAATTGCTGGACCAAAGGTTTGTACTTATTAAAACATTAATAGATGTTGCCACTTTGCCCTCCAAAGACTGTGACAGATTACATTCCCACATCAGTGGACAGACCAGTACTCCTGTTACCCACACCTTCCCCAGTCTTGGGTTTTGTCAAACTTGATCTTTTCTAATACGTGTGGTAGAAAATAATTTCTAGATGTAGTTTTAATTTGCATTTATTTAACTATGAGTCACATGAAGCATCTTTTGGAACTACCCCTTTAAAAGACAACATAGTCAGAAAATTGGGGATTTCATCCAGCTTTTCTGTCAACTAGCAAAGTGTGGTTCCTGGACCAGCAGCATCAGCATCACCTGGGAACATGTTCCGAATGCATGTTCTTGGTTCCCAGCCCAGACCCACTGAATCAGAAACTCTGAGGGTCAGATCCAGAAAGCTGAGTTTTAACAAGCCCTCTATTTAGGCCCAACCTCCATATTTTCAAGTGAGACCCAGACTTTACATTTCCCAAATCCATTCCCAGATGATGTTATGCTGCTGATCCAGGGATTACACTTTGAGAACCACTGGACTGGAGTATCATTCTTGCACTGATATTTACCCTTGATGCTCCTTTTCAGATTCACTCCTTAAAAGAAAGATTACCAGATAGCAATTGTATGTACTTAGGGCTTTGAAGTTTGTTTTCAGTGAGGTGATTGGTAGACCAGGAGGAAGTTCCTGGTTGTCTTGCTGGGAGCTTGGTTGCTAGCAGCACCTCTGCCCACTGCAGGAACCCTTTTTTGAGCAATGTTTGGAAAGCTACTAGCAGGCCAACACCCTTTGTTTAGATGCTTCAAAGAGGCTGAGCAGCACCCCCATCTGTAAAGGCTGGTCACTGCAAGTAGGAAGGGAAGAAAGTCTAAAAAGAAATGGCCCATGCTTTTTATATTTGTCTAAACTGTGAGATCTTTGTTCCTTACTGCACTGGTTCTCAATGCTGGCGGCACACTGGAATCACCTGAGAATCTTGTAAAAGATCCTGGGCATGGGTACATGCCCAGGTCCCACCCCAGATACTCTGATTTAATTCATCTGGTGAGGTTTGTTGTTTTACAAGATCCCCACGTGATTCTAATGTACAATTACATAGAAGAACACTGCTTTAGAAAACGTCTTCTAGAAATCCAGACTAGCCTTTTGAAGTGTTAAACTACAATTAATTCCTTGTTTAAATGATGTTTTTTAAAGAAAGAAGAATCACAGTCAGTAATAATAAAAAGAGTCCTGGTGGCACAATGGTTAAGCTCTTGGCTGCTAGCTGAAAGGTTGGTGATTCGAACCCACACAGCAGCTCCATTGGAGAAGGATTTAGCAATCTGCTTCTGTAAAGATTACATCCAACGAAACCCTATGGGACAGTTCTGCTTTATCATAGGGGGTCACTAGGAGTTGGAATCTACCCATAATGATGACAATAGGAAGAGCTAACATTGGGTGCTTGTTATGTTCCAGACCCTGTCTAAGCCCTTTACGCATGTCAACTTATTTAGCCCTCTAAACCATCCTCTAAGGTAATTCCATCATTACCTGTCTTTTACAGATGAAAAAACAGGCCCAGAAGGGTTTGGTAACTTGCTCAAAGTCACTGTGTTTTCCATATTTCCTGATGATAAATATCACCTGGGGTATTTGTTAAAAGCACGCAGGTACAGACCCCATTGTATTCCTGCAGTCAGCTTCAACAGGGAGCTTGGAAGCCACAGATTTTCCTTGATCTCTAGGGGTGGCTTGTTGTCAGAGAGAAGTTGGGACCATTTGGGGCCAGTAAATGGTAGGACCCAGCAGTCTGACTGCAGAGCACCTTTATTTAGCCATGGCACCAGTGTGGCTCTTTAAAGGCCATGTTTTCAAAGCTTATGATGCTCAATTTCTGGCCAGTGCATCTCATATGCATCTACCACCTGTCTGTCAGTGGAGGGTTACGTGTTTCTGTAATGCTGAAAGGGACTTCAGACTAAGACAGATTAGGAAAAAAGACCTGGTGTTCTACTTCTGGAAATCAGCCAGTGAAAACCCTATGGATCACAGTGTCTAATCTATAACGCATCACGGGGATGGCAGAGAACCCGGCAGCATTTTGTTCTTTTGGGCATGGGGTCGCCATGTGATGGCAACTAACAATAGCAGCATGGCCCAAAGCAGGGAAATAAATGTCTCTAACAGGATTTCTGAATTTTTGACTTGTAGTACCAAGCAGTTGTGATGCCAGCCAAGTGCATTTGAGAACCCCTCTCTTTTTCTTCACAGCTCCCCATCTTAAGATTGGGAGCTTTGGTAGCGTAGTGCCTAAGGCACTTGACTGCTAACCAGAAGGCTGGCGGTTCAAACCCACCAGCCACTCCTCGGAAGGAAGATGGGGCTATCTACTTCCGTAGTGATACTGCCTCGGAAATCCAAGGAGGGGTCGCTATGAGTCGGGTCCAACCCGACGGCACATAACAACAACAAGAACATGGGTAAAATATTTCTTCCATTGCTACCTCTCTTAAAAGAGAAACTAGAATGAATCTGACCTTGCTGTGGACAAAAGTCTGACATTTCAAATCTAAAATTGAGGGTTCAGGGTTCCCTCTGGACAAGCTTTTGTTCCCTCAGTGGCCTTGTCATCAGAAACCACTCACTCCATCAGATGTTTATGGAAGGCCTGCAAAGTGCCCCAGCCTCTGCTAGGTGTGAGAGAGAATTAGAGACTTGATGCTCTTCTGTCTCATTGGATAGGGACACAGGCTTCCTTCTGGATGGTGGCTGGGACTTTCCATGTTGGGAGAGAGGGAGCAACTCTTGGCTTTTTCCTGAGTCTTAAGCATCTTTTGTCACCTTTCAAGCCTCAGAAGCTCCCTATGCTTGCAGACGGTCAAGGTATAGGGGATATCGTTAAGGACAAGGTATGAGGGGGCTGCCAGGGCTGTTGGGAATATTCTACATCTTGATCTGGGCAATGGTTACATAGGTGTAAACGTGAAAATTCATCAATTTGTACACATCCCTATGTATATGTTATGCCATGTTTGAAAAGAATAAGGGAGCTTTATGTGTAATGATACATAATGTTTCTAAGACATAATCGCAAAGGGATGAAGCAAGGTCATACACAGAGTCTCTGGGTGGTGCAAACGATTAAGCATTTGACTACTAGCCAAAAGGTTGATGGTTCAAAACCATCCCGAAGTGCCTCAGAAGACAGGCTGGACCATTTGCTTCTGAAACATCACAGCCTAGAAAACCCTATGGAACACAGTTGTGCTGTGACACGTATTGGGTTGTCAGTCGGCATTGAATTGATGGCAACTAACAACAACAATATGGATTTTAAAAAAATGAATGTAGGAAACTTACCTTTTACCACATACCATGTGTGTGAATTACCTACTCAGAAAAAAAATTTTGATGCAAATTCCCAGGTCTAGCCCCCATCTTTCTGAATCACCTTCTCTGAGGGTGAAGCCCAGGAATGCTTGTTTCTAATACTCTCCCTAGGCAAAAAAAAATAAAATAAAATTCTGTGTACACTACAGTTTGAGAGACTCTGCATGGGGTTGTGCTAGACTGGCTTAGGCTGCATCCCACTATAAAGAGGAAGACAGATATAAGGGGAGCTTACTCCAGGCTCAAAAGGTAGTGTCCCCATGGCTTGCTGGGTTAGGGAAGAAGCTGTTCAATTCTATTAGGGGTGTCAGAACCTATGAGCTGTTGCCAAGATCAGCAACTCATGTTTCCATTGTAAATGTATAACCTCATCATCTGTTTTGTACATGCTTCTTGCCAACATCCCCAACTTCCCCATTTAGGTTTTCTTTTCATTTGGTTCCCTGCAGAGCCTGGAATTAGGCCTTAGAAGGATGCAATAAATTCCTTCATCTGTATATGGCTGTTAGCCTCCTCTTAGCAAAGCTGCTGAGACATAACATGGCTTCAACAACTTCCCAAGGGGAAGGATGCCAGCTGAGATCATCCCTCTGGGGCAAGCATGGCCCAAACATCCTCTCTGTTCAGAGGTCCCTTCTGTGTGTCCCTGATTGGGTTTGCCTCCCTTGGCACCCTGGCCCTCACGTCATCAAGAACATTTTACCCTAATCATGCAGAGCATACTGGCCATCCCTCTGGACCAAAGTTTGCCTTTCGTCCCCTCCCACACTCTGACAAAGAGATCCTGTAAATAACATCCACTTGGTGCTTAATACCATGAGTCATTGTACACATGGGCATAGCTTCCCAATTTGTAGCCTAAGATGTTGGTCCCATAGGATTTTGCTTTTGCTTTTATTTACATCTGCATGTGAACAGGCAGGCTCATGCATGACCTGAACATCTGTTTTGAGTTCCATGAGTATCTTGACAGGTTTCTCATGACCCACCTTTCAAGGAGCATTGTGCATCTGTTTGAGGCATGTGGCTCCACTCTTGGGCATTGCTGATACCATCCTTCCTTTATACCAAGGGGCATCTGGGAACTTTCTTCCAAGTCACCAAAGAGCAGCGTCTCTGTCTCTTTATCTGTATATTGGCACCCATTTAATGACCCTCCAACTTGCATTTTCTCTGATATTTATTGTACCTGCAATGAATGATGCTATTACTCCTCTTCCCACAGGCTGCACGTGGGAATTTGGAGCCATGGTAAACTACATCAAGAAGACATATCCCCTGACCCAGCTGGTTGTCGTGGGATTTAGCCTGGGTGGTAACATCGTGTGCAAATACTTGGGGGAGACTCAAGCAAACCAAGAAAGGGTCCTATGCTGTGTCAGCGTTTGCCAGGGATATAGTGCACTGAGGTGAGTAATCCCGTGTTCCCACTTCTTCCTTCCATCGAGTCCTGCAGTTAGCACTCATGTATTGAGATGCCCTTGTGCACCAGACACTGATCCGTGAAGACTGGGGCAAACACTGTGGCAGATAGAGCAGAAGTTTCTGAGTCTTGGGCTCACCTTGTTTTGTTTCCATATCATGTGTTGGAATTGGCATATCAGATCCTTTAAACCTGGGCTATGCCACTGCATTGTGGGATCGTATCTAATTGGTAAGCTGAATAACCCCTTAATAGCTGCTATTTTCCTATGGAGTCCCCATGAGGTGATGTATAATCTGTTCATGCTTCAGGAGTTTTGCAGAACCATAGTCTCTGAGAGAACACAGGAGACTGGCAAGCGAGGATCTGAGAGCCAGGCCTCGTAATCCCAGACCCCTCCTCCCTAAGGAAGAGTGAGTCTCAGATACCTCTAGAAGGGATCTGTGGTAATCTGTGCACTTACCTTCAAGTATTCATCTCTCGTGTGCATCCTAGACATCTTCACAAAAGAGCTGATCTACTGGATCAAGATTTATCTCACCCCTTGGTCTCCCACCAACAGTTACTCCCACGGGGTGAGTCCTCGCTGTGAACAATGACTTGGTGTTCAGAGAGCATTGAATTTGATTACTAGGAGGATGTGGGACATGGTTTCTCTTAATTTTTTTTTCCAAGGTACAAAATCTTAACTGACAGCAGCTAGGTTTTATTTTGCTGCAGTAGCACCATCTGCTGTTGGCAAGAGCACATGATCAGCCACTTGGGCTGGAGAACTAAGATGTGGGAGCAAAGAAGGTTTGAGAAGTAGAACATTAGAACTTGTGAAGTGCAATACATAAACAGTCTAAATAGCTTCTCCTTGGGATCTAAAAGAGCTTCATATATGATATTATCTATCATCACATCAACCTCATATAAGAAAGAGAAAAAGAGGCAGCTTTATCCTCTGTGGCACAGAAAGCCAATATCAGGACAGCAGAACTAGTGGCAGGTCAGGGAAACACCATCACCCTACGTGTGTTGGTGCTGAGGGCTCAAGTCCCCTCAACATTTTAACCAGTTTTACTCACTGAGGGGGACAATTCCTTATGATAAATCAGGGTGACCTTTTTTTTTTTTTTTTTTTTCCTGCGGAGGCACATGAGTGAGTAATAAGCCTTTTCAGCACTGGAACGGTGGCAGCCATGTTTCCTTTACACTGAGGTGGAGCAGGGAGGGCTCGTCTGCTTCCGAGGGGGCCACACAGGAGCTCATCCTTCTGGTAAATTCCTCCTGACTGAATCTGGAGAACTGCTTGTTCAGTGATCCCCAGCCTGCGACTTCTCATCCCAGTAGTGCACTTCCCACATAGCCAGAGGCAGTTGAGGCTCACAGAGAAGCCAGCTGGCCGGCCCTGCACCAACCCCCATGGCCAGTGGTGGATCGGGCTTTTGTGATCCATAGGGTTTTCATTTTGGCTGCTTTTCTGAGGTAGACCACCAGGCCTTTCTTCCTGGTCCATCTTATCTGGAAGCTCCACTAAAACCTGTTCAGTCAGCATCATAGCAACACACAAGCTTCCACTGATGGTTGGGTGGTGGCTGTGCATGAAGAACAGTGGCCAGGAATTAAACCCAGCACTTTCCCATGAAATGCAGGAATGCTACCATTGAACCACCAGTCCCTGTAGCAAAGTCTACCTGCTGCTAAACAAGCTCACATTTTATGATACACTGAAACATGGAAGAGGCATGGTATTAGGCAGCAACCCTGTTCAATGCCTGGCCAGCCTAGCCAGCCTGCTGGGCCCAGATGACCCCATCTGCCTAGCACTGTCCATGTGTCTGTCTGTGTCCCTTCCTTTTCCTGAGGTTCCAGATTCTTCCCAGACTTGTCCTGGAGAGGTCAGAAATGTCCTTTCTTGTCCTTGATGTCCAGTCATCATTCCCACCTTAGGGGCTCCACCCAACTGCAATATTAACATCTAGTAGTGCCATCTAGTATTACCATCTAGTATTACCATCTAGTTAGAAATAATCTGGATGTCCAGCATAGGAGATAGCAAGGAGCTGTGGTGGCATACTGGTTAAGGCATTTGGCTGCTAGCCAGAAGGTGGGTGGTTCATCCCACCAGCTGCTCTGCAGAAGGAAGATGAGGCAATCTACTTCCGTAAAAGATTTACAGTTTTGGAAACCCCGTGGGTCACTATGAGTTGGAATTGACTCAGTGGCAATGGGTTTTTGGTTTAAGTATATCATGATATACTAACTTGGTGGAAAACAAGAAGCTTTTCTTTTAAAAAGTCAAGAAAATATACAACATGCCATAATGTGTATATTCAAAGTAGGAGAGAAGGCCTTTATGTAAAAATATAATTGTATATGGGCAAAGTCTAGAAGGGAACTCCCAGAGTCAAAATAATTCTTATGTAGGTGTGGTGGTATTCTGGAAATAGTCAATGTACTTTAATTTTAATGTTTTATTAACATACTACTTGTAAGTTTTCTTTTATATCTTCAAGGACATCATATAGATCCACAAAACATAAATTCATCACCAATCTTAATTCATAGTACCCCTCCCTTTTCTTTCCTTTTTGAGTGTTAGGATCATGCTGGCCAGTTCTCATTCTTACAGAACCCTCTCTTTGGTTAGCATCCTCCATATTTTCTCAAGCACCACAGGAAAGCTGTTCAGCTGTTCTCATGGCCTCTCAGCACTCAGATGTCATTTATTTGAGCCAGGAGGTTTGGATTCATTTGGTTGTTAGATGCATTCTTTCCCTCAGTTCATTTGCTTCAGACTTCAATTCCTTTTAATCAACATTTGGTTCACTCTTCTTTGCAAAATACAAACTGGAAAGTTGAGCTTACTAGGAGCAGCATGAAATAGTTGGCCTGATTCTTTCTTACTTAATCAGTTGCTGTGAACATAATTATAAATTCCTGTTTTGTTTGGGACCTTTCCTAAGTTATTTAAAAATCTGTGAACCTTCCACAACATCTTTTAAAATTCTTTTGACAGATCCCTCACGAGCAGATGGCTGGGGAGCCGGTATGGATAATACCTTATTATTAGTGAATGTTAACATTGATTAGAAATAAAGGCATTTAAAAAGAACTTTACTTTTTATTTTGGAGATAGATAGATGATAACATTCTTTGAAAATCCATATGTATCATTTCTCGGAAGCCACACTGGTTTCTAGGGGTGCTCTTCTCATTTACAATCTCAATGACAGAATCACTTTGAGAGCTTTGCAACTTCAGGAAGCCCCTTCTCTTTTGGAGTCATCTGGTTTCTTTTGGAAGTTTTTGAAACCTACCTTCCTACGAGCAAGGGCTCACCCTTACTTATTCAAAGCCTTCCCCTCTTGGTTGCTCTGACCTGGCTGCTTTCTCCCAGGATCCCACACATCTCTTCTGTGCCTTCCCCTAGATTCTCCCGGTGGGTCGGCATTAGGTTCAATGAAAAACCAGTTCCTGCCATCCCTTCTCTCAAGAGGACAGAGCTGTCTAAAGGCAAGTCAAGAACTTGGATGTTCTGTTATTTAGCCAAGTCAGGCACCCATAAATTCTAGTGGCCCAATGGCTAAGCACTCGGCTGCTAACTAAAAGGTTCGCAGTTCAAACGCACCTAGTGACTTAGCAGGAAAAAGACCTGGCGATCTGCTTCCATAAAGATTGTTGTTGTTGTTGTTATATGCCGTCGAGTTGGCCCCGACTCATAGCGACCCCTCCTTGGGTTTCCGAGGCAGTATCACTATGGAAGTAGGATTGCCCAACCTTACAGCCAAGAAAACCCTATGGAGGCATTTCTACTCTGTCTCATTGGGTGACTGTGAGTCAGAATCAGCTCTACGGCAGCCAACAACAGGCAGTCATTCAATATTCAGAGAACTGAAGTCCCATGGCTTTGATGTCCATTTTTAATTTGTATCAGAAATGTGTGATTCGTGTCTTCCGTCTCACCTGGCAGCTCTTACCAAAATGTTCTCCACATGTTTTTCCCTGTTGGACTTTTGGAATCAGCATGGGTCTGTGTTTTCTTGCCACTTAGTACTATTCTGCTTCTCTTCCAACAAGCTTACCTAATCTTGAATAGGATAGCCATCCAGTTTCCATCACGGGGTTCCTTCCAGTCCTAGTCCCATCTCAGCAAGTATCATTGTACTCTCTGGAGTTAAGGACGCCTTGTGTGTGTGCTGTCCATCAGCATGTCAATATCTGAGGTTGTAAATAAATGACACCTCTCTTCCCTTTCAGGAGCTCTGGTAGTCCCTAAGGCATTTGACTGCTAACCAGAAGGTTGGCAGATCAAACCCCCCAGCTGCTCCCTAAGAAGAAAATGAGGCAATCTACTTCCATAAAGATTTACTGCCTCGGAAACCCAGAGGTGGTTGCTATGAGTTGGAATTGACTCGATCGATGGCAGTGAGTTTGGTTTTTTTGGTCTCCTCCCTTTCCTTTCCCAACCATCCCCTCTCACAAACCACTGCTATTCTTGTCACTCTGTCATACTGAAGTCTGCCCAACTCAGATCCTGCACTGTCACAGTGTCTTCTGAGTGTTCTCCCCTTACCTCCACCTCCATTCTCTTTAAATCTCCTTGATGGAGTCATCTGGTTTCCAAGCAGACATCCTCCCCATCCTTACAAAGCCTGCTCATCCTTCCACTCCCTTCAGCCAAGGCCAGCTCTCCACTCACCACAGCCATTCCCCTCTGCAGAATTCTAGCTGCCATAACAGAAGCTTTGAAAACATCACTGACATTCCCCAAGTGGCCTGAGTCAGGCCTGAGATGGAACTGTCTAGATGCCTCAGCAATAGAAGCAACCTGGGTGTGGGACTAGATTCTCTAGTTCAGTCCCCTGGAAGCTCTGGTAGCATAGTGCCTAAGGCATTTGACTGTTAACCAGATGGCTGGTGGTTCAAACCCACTAGCCACTCCTCGGAAGGAAGATTAGGCAATCTACTTCTGTAGTGATACCGCCTCAGAAACCCAAG